ACAGATGGACCGTCGATAGACTCGACACCTTACGCCTTTTTTAAGGTTTTTTTTTTTCTTTTCTTTTTTTGTTGACACCGCATGTTATTTGCTATTTGCTCCGGAGAAAGACTCACCACTGAACTATGTGAAACATAGGGGGAAAAAAAAAAAAAAAAAAAAAGGGAATCTTCCAAACAAAGACGGCGAACTATCCTATTTATAGAAATACTGAGTGTTATTCATGGAACCGAAATTACCAAAGATGCATAAGGAACATCTTGGAGATTCTAGATCCTGCTGGCCGAGCCCACAAAAAAAAAAAAAAAAAAAAAGGAAAAAAAAAAGAGAGAGAGATGCTAGCAGAAGCAGGATTCTCGGAATAGTTTATTTACTCTGTGAGACTTGAACAGGATCCTTTTTTTTTCTTTTCTTTTTCTTTTTCTTTTTCTTTTTCTTTTTCTTTTTCTTTTTCTTTTTCTTTTTTTAATTGCACCCCAATTTTTGGGATGCTTATTCAGTAATATTCACCTCTTATATCCTGCCCTTGCATAATGCTTACAGGATAGCTTTAAGAAAGCCCGACTCACGAGGTCTCTTCACAATCATGAACCTGATCTTCGTGCAGAAGAGGGGCTCGTCGTTCTCATCAAATGCGCTGACCTTCACCATGTATGGACCCTGCAAGCACAGACAAGCATGCATACCACCTCAGCACACAGGCTTATATAGTATATACAGTTATGCTCGGCTGACATTGGAAAGAAACTTAAATTCACAATTTCACACCAAATAAAAAAGTAATCCAAAAATGAATTTGACTAAGGTTTCTGGATATTGACGTCCGCAGATTTTGCCTATCCAATAGTAGAATCCTGCAAATAGATCGAATACGGCTCCCATAGAGAAAAGTACGTCATATACCGTCATATCGTCATATCGTCATATTCAATATTGTCCTCTTCTCCCTCTCTTGCCTAGGGTTTTACTATATGGTCCTCTTCTGTTTCACAATGCATGTGGTCGCATCTGGTGACATGATCTTGCATATTCTTTTGTTTTTTTGACAATCTCAATTTCGCAAGTCTGCCTATTGTGTGTGTGTGTGTGTGTGTGTGTGTGTGCTGTCTCTTATACACATCTAGATGTGTATAAGATCACCACCTTATCCTACCCCTAGGGCCTTAGCTGCCCTGCAGTGGGCAAATCCCTTTTTTTCTGAAATGACAAAAACAGATCTTGGGCAATGAATGGCACCACCAATTCCAGCAAATGCCGAACCGTCATGTAATGTGCTTAGACATCCGGCAATGCAGCCTGACCGGCCAGCAAGCCTGTTCGAAAGACTCTGCCTTGGAGGGCACTTGCTTTCCTGGCCTGGCGGAGCGGCATCAAGATACAAATATCACGCTGTAGCGAGTAGCAAAGCAGGACACCAAGTGACATGATCCATCACAGAGCAATCTCTTTTTCTTTTTTTCTTTTTTTTAACGTCTTCTATTACTATGAGAAGAAGAGAGGTAGCGCTGAGCAGGAGCGATCTAAAATAATCCGATTTCAGAAAGAAAAAAAAAAACAGCCTTTGTGTTCACCGCCACCTCCTGTTTCCACATTGACATCCAGCTCGCACAGTGGAATAGACCCGCCCGCCACAGGCAAAGCAAGAAGAGAACATCAGTTGAAGAAGGACGACGTCCTGCATCTCGTTTCCGTTCCGTGAATACAGAAGATGACCAGGTACACTCTCAGGAACAAATATACAATTTTGGCATTCCGAGTCTCCGACGAGGTTTCGTGGCATTTTGCTCCATTCTCTCCACATCCACTGACATCTGACATGATCCCGTCCGTTATGGTTGAGATAATCGACCTTTCCATGGTCGGTGCTTCTAACAATTCGCACACCC